GTGCTCAATCCTGGGTGAGATTCGGTTGTTGCATCTCGGATGTTTCACTCTCCCCAGGGTTGACCTGTTACGGTTTTTGAGTGGCTCAAATTCGCGGCCCTTAATTCGATACGCTAGGCATGCATGGAATTACAGATATGAATTAATTAATGTTTAATTTTTGATTTCTTTTGTATAACCTGTTTTTTTTCTCTCTTTCGCATTTTGGCAGTTGTTGTTTCTCCTTTTTTTTCTTTTTATTGCGTAGGTTAAAACTTTTATTTTATTGTGTATTTTTTCGTTTTTGACTGTTTAATCAACGACCTCTGGCAGACGGATCCAAGATCCATGGCCTTAAATGCTTTAAAATCTAAATTGTCTTTTTTCCTTTTTTATGTTTAATAAAGCATTATTATTATTATATTGTTATTAAATAGATTTTGAGAAAATGATATTAAAAAATGGCAACTTCTAGCATCTCTTTGAACAACTAAATGAATCTGAGTAATTGTTGAAATACGGCAACATTTCACAATTTAATGCTTGAACAGAAAGTAAAGACTCACCTGAAAAGGAAATTATTTATTATTATTTTTTAATATTATTATTATTTAAGCAAATTAAAATTTATATCCGTCCAGTACAAGAAGAGTTAAAAAAAAAAACGGAAGAAAAATCCGAAAAACGACGCTACCCCCTTACAGAAGTCTTAACGCATACCAAGAGGATTCAGCGATCAGTAAAAATAATTTGTAAATTTTAACCTACGTTAACAGTTACAACTTCGTAGGATTTGTAGACCCCAATGAAGGACGAAAAACTTAATTATAATTAATTTTAATTAAATATATGGCTTTTCTAATCTATCTAAGATTGCATCTAAATAGATGACTATCTTAATTTTGCAGAATGTAGCGAGAGAGAAAAAAACAGACATTTAAATGTTAATATGAAATTGTACCTACTTATATGAAAAATATTTAGAAGCAACATCACGCCTAAATATTTTTATAACAATTTTTTATGAGGGGACACTCAAATTTTTTAATTTGATCACGTAGTGTAGATTTTTTTTATCCGACCCAACTTTACGTAAAAGGTTTCGGAAGTAATCAGGCAAGGATTAAAACATCGAAGTGGATGTTTTTAAAACGAGCTTGAATTAGTCTCAGAGATAACATCACTGTTTTGCGATACCCTCCATATAGATTAACAGGAACGGACCTTAATTTCTCGCTAGATCGCCAATGATATTCTGTTACCGGTATTTTCTAATGTGTAATTATACATATTGGTTTGCAAAAAAATTTAAGAAAAGTTCGTGCGCGTGTTGTGCCACCTGGTAAAATATGTAAGTTCCACCTCTTCAAATTTTTTTGAACATATTGAATAGCTTCAGGCTCAACGAAAAATAAAACAGGATTAACATTTTGATAAAAGTTAAGTAAAAAAACAGACATTAAATTTCGATGATTTTTCACAAAAACTCAAAAAAATTTTGAGAGACTGAGTAAGAGAATGTGAGAGATACGGGGAGAGAGATAGAGATAGGGATAGGATATAGACGGATAAATAGATAGATGAGAGAGAGAGAGAGAGAGAGAGAGAGAGAGAGAGAGAGAAGAGTTCATATTCCCAGAGAGAAATCGGGAAATCTTCAGTGCTCGTTTTGTTATCGGTGCATGCGGCATGTGCATTCAAACCACTATAATTAGAAATGGGAGAGTTTAAATTAAAACCACAATGTGAATTGAGATATTGACTGGTGGTTGAATGTATAACAAAGATTCTCTCAGTTCCTACAAGTCCTAATTTAAATTGTTAAATTGAGCAATATATATAAATCAGGATGATAGGTTTTATAGAAGATATACATTCAAATATACATTCGTAAAATTCGCAACCCAGCAGATTCCATTAGGTAAATATCGCCATGACAAATGTGTTTCGTTTTGGAGTAACCAATTGGGAGAGCTTAATGTCCAACTACGTTGGGTATCACGATAAGTGTCAAATCTATTTACAATATTAATTCATATTATGATTAATTACAAAGCCATGCGCTATACTGGTATTCGAACCCAGGACCGCTAGAGAGGCAAATCTTCAGTTCCCTAACCACCGGGCCACCAGGATCCCTGGTTTTTGACGTATGGTACAATATTTAGCTGTGGTTCGTATACATTTTTATAATAAATATTGATATACCATATATGGGAGACGGTGGTGGCCGAGTGGTTAGGGTGCCCGCCTTGTATTTACTAGTGGTTCTGGGTTTTAACTTTTTAATTGATGATGGTATAAAAACTATATTGTAAAGTGGTTTGTCCTTCGTCCGCGATACCCAACGGGCTTTTATGCCCTTTTTCTGTACGACAGGAATTACTATACTTACATTATACCATGTATGAAATCCTACATACGATACGGTATATAACTTACGATGGTTGGTAGATATATCTGTTATGGTACTTTCCTTTATATTATAACATTTTATTATACATTTGCCGGTCATACACGTCTAAATTTCAATTCGGCACCCACTTTTATCGAAAATGAAGGGTTACAGAAAAAAAAGTTTAAATGGTAACCCTCATAGTTTTTTTTACAAAGGGTCTAAAATAAGTGGTCTAAACATTTTTTTTTTTTTATGTCAGTAATATATTACTGAGTATCAACTTTATTTTTTCAACTGAGACCTACCAAGTTTTGATACATTTTCAAAAACTCGATTTTTAATTTAAAACATGACACCAAGAGCAATTAGATTGATTGCGTATTTCCGGAGATATTTCAATTCAAAGACTGGCGGTATTTCATGCTTGCAACGTTTTTCTAAGGTCCATTGGCTTTTTTTGAATACTTTAAAAACTGCTGTTAAACTCATCAATCCAGAGAATATGGGATAGTAAATCGGGAAGTAACTCCATTAACATTTTCATACATGCCGACAAAGTAATCCTTCGTTCACAGTCGGTTTGCCACAATCCCTGAACGAGAGAAATGCTGTATGGTTTAAAGCCTTAAAACTCGGTGTTCGCTTTCTTTGGAAATATCCAATATATTCACTGCATTTATTAAATATGAATTAGCTAATTCCGTATCAAAGTTACGACTTGTTTGCTTTGTTTGGGGGACGATGATTCTGAACTATTTGTTTCGAACTTAATTTAGATCCTTGGGTTACCATATAACCTTTATTTCTATAACCCTTCCTTTTCGAAAAAAGTGGGTGTCGCGTTGAAATAGATAATGCGATCCGTGAAAATCGATGATGTGCAACATATACAAACTTTACTCGCGACATACAAATATCAAATATCATTTAGATAGCATACATTGTTTATAAATGATTAACTGAGAAACTAGTGCTATTACAAACTTATTACAAACATGCCATCTTTCTTCCAATTTTACAATTAGAAATTTATTAAAGGCAATTTATATGCCAGCAGTTTGCACAAATTGTGTCCAGCCAAGTGCACTGCATGCCAAAAGAAAATACAGTGATTGACGGGAGATACGATTAGCTTTAGATAAGCGATTCGCAATTACTTCCTAACATAGGCGAATCCTCCGGATTGGCCATTAATGGATTTGCCCTTCCGGCCGTTAGTTTGTATCCATTGTGTAAGCTGCGCCTTGCCATTGTGGACGACGGTGCCTATAAATGACTGAGAATTAAGTGAACAAGTCCATTCACACTTGTTATCCGATCAAGTTGAAAGACTATCAAGCTCCGCTTATTTTCAGTACGACACGATCGAAAGTATAAGAAAACACACGACAATAATGTCAGGTTCAATAGATCATTTTTAATAATGCACATAGAAAATATAAATGGAATGTAGGATGTGCAATTTAAAAAAAAGGTAGGAAAACAATGAAAATACGCACGTGGTAGGTTTATAATATCTATTTTGCATATGAATATGAATAACTACACAGAAAATTCTCTCAACCTCGGCCTGATATCAAAACAAACAGTCCTATTGATCAAAAATCGAACAAACGCCTACACAACAGTTCAACTGAAGAATGTAACCAACATTTATACACGATAACAATGTTTTTAAAATTGATTATTGTTTTCAAGAAACAGTCCGGTTTTTAATATACTTTTTATTATCTTAGATGAGTTACTGTATAGAATTTGCATAACAGCCCATCGATAATGCTGAACATCGAGAATAAACTTCTTGCGAAAAAGTTGTTCATTAAAACACAGGAAATCATTATTTATAATAAATAGTTTATCTTGAATCGAGGATATCGCTACGTAGCTATTTATATTGAGAATGATAATGAAGTTATTTTTCTCAAAAAGATCAATGAATTTCAATTATAAAAGGTTTTTGCGAGTGAAACGCGGTGTGCCGTGGGCCGCAGGACTTCGCCTACGCGGTCAACGGAACTTTCCCAGCGACCCACTTCCAGGTTTTCCAAGCGCCGAGAAGTATGGTTGAGGCTGTGTGGTATTGGAATCTTAAAACTTTTAGAGATGGTAAAAAATTATATATATACACGCATTAATTTACAACATAAGAAATGGCGCATTCTGAGGCAACGAGAGTTAAAATAAGACCGATTTAGCCCGATACGTCTCCTCACAGGCTAAACACGCTATGTTTATAAGTAAAATAGAATACTCACTCTTCAAGAGGCTGTCGGGCTTCTTGCGAGAGGTGATCCTGAAAAAACAAAAACATTATGAATACGACGTAGCAAAACAGGAAAACACGAGATTATATGTCTTAGACGTCGATAATTCATTTTGTTTTTGGAAATGGTGTTTATTTGCGCCTTTACGCACCCGCCAAACATGTAGGACGGTCAAAAATGTCAACAGCTCTATATTTTATTTTTTATTATAACTGTTGGTTTCCGGAAAATAATGCTGGTTTTCATGTTTTCTTTCAATTACCCCCATATATAATAAAACTGTTTATGTTTGATGGATTATCTTTGTACGAATGTCAACACTTTTTAATCCTCTTCCATTCAAAAATGTTTGTTTACCTATGTAGCATTTCGTTACATCGGAATAATTCAGCCTTTACAAAGATGTCAACGAGAGATTTCGTTTTACGTGTTTAAAACTCGGTCGGAACGGAACTCAAACGACCAGAAACATTAATGAAGTCTGGGGCGATGACAGTGTGATGAGAGCACCTTTCAGAGATGGTTTAAAAATTTTCAAGAGGGAGACTTTAGGCTTGAAGATAAAGAAAGTGGAAGGATTTCTTCCCTAGATGATGACGTTCTGCGAGATTTAGTCGAAGAAAACCCTAGAACTGTTCGAGAACTTGCAGAGTATCTTTCAGTTAGCAAATCGACCGTCGCTGAACACCTAAGACAACTGGAAACGTGAAATGGCTCGAATTGGGTTCCTCGCACCTTAAACGACCAAATGAATTCTTATGAAGTTTAACCAAGACTTCTTTGCCGAAAACGAAACGAACCTTTTCTGCATAGAATTGTTACTTGTGATGAAAAGTGGATTCTCTACGATAACAGCAGACGTTCTGAACAATGGCTCGACAAAGGAGAACCAAGACCGCCTTTTTCAAAGCCCCCAACTCATAAAAAAAGGTGATGGAGACTGGTGTGCTTTATTTGTGCTGGAATTGGGGAAACAATCAATGCCGAAATGTATTGCTTTCAAACTGAAGCACTGCACCAGAAAATGGCATTACTTGGTTCATCGGAAAACCCCGAGTCTGCTACACGACAACGCTCGGCTCCATGTCTCATATGTGACAACACGAAAACTGTTGAATCTTGGTTATGAGGTTCTGCTTCATGGTCAACGGTTTACAACATAAAAAATTTAGAGATCAAAAGTCGTTTGAAAGTGCGTTTACAGAATTTGTTAATAATAAAGACTCAAGATTTCATTCATAGGGTATAGAGAAGTTACAAACGTTGGAAGAAGTGTACTGACGGTTATGGAGGGTTTAATTAATAAAAAAATGTTTAAAATCATTCATTTACTTGTTCTTATTTTATAACCATAAACCTGCATTATTTTCCGGACAACCTAATGTTAAGTCTTTTTTATGTACAAACACATTAAAAACAATGTTTTTTCAAAATAACAGAAAAACATTAAAGACGACAACCATGACCGGATGGATCGTCGGTGGAATCGAATTTACTATTTATATAATATAAAACATATATTCCAATTAATTAGACGATTTAGGCCTTTAATTAATTGGAATATTTAATATGGTCAATTATGTCCACCAAACAAATTTGGATTAATAAAATATTATATAAAGTTGTGTAAATAAATAGTACATTTCATACAATAATGTAATTTAAGCAAAACGGAAATAATGTAATAAATAATTGTTCTATTAACTAATAAATGCAATATAAATCTTATTCCATAGTTAAAGGAGTTTTTACAATAATTGGACAACACTCAATTAGGACCATTCAAATACTGAAACATTTCTTCGCCAAAGATATTCTGTTTTCCAAAATATTTAAATCTAATTTCATTAACAAGGGGACGATCGAGTTGGTAGGTCACGGGTTTGATTCAAATTTTTGGTGATTCTTCCAAAATATCAGACATTTATCCGCCACTTCTTGCTAAAAGGCCTTGGTTTCGCCAAAATGAATTTTGAAAATTGAAATTTTCCGTTTTTTAATATTTATATCCGTTCTACTTGTTAAAATCATCAATATGAATAGATCCTTTTACTCCTCGGTGACGCACATGAAATTCTAGTATTAAATAAACTTTACCATATAGACATTTTTTAGAATAGATCCTTCAATTATAGCAATATTGTGTTTTAATTAATGCACGATTAAGTTACGGATAATTAGCATAGACGCACAGATACCAAAGACAAGATATATTCAGTGAGATCTTTTCGTAAAGAGTGATGTTCAGATGGAAATATTGATGTGGGGAACTGACGAAATGCTTTGATTATAGTTAGTTCGATTTTTTTACAGTTGTTGCGGACTAACAAACCTCCTTGAATTATATAGAGGCTGATTGATAATTAAATGTCGAAGACATCGACCTATTAAATAAATTTTTATTTTTTCCTATTTATAGGAAGTTAGTCTTTCTGATTGTGAGAAATCCTTAATAAAAAACACATGTGAATGTTTAGATTTGTTACATTCTCTTAGTAAAGAATGTTATTTTGAAGTCAATGTACTTTATATATATATATATATATATATATNATTTTATATTATATTATATTTATAAATATTGCTTAAACGTAGATATTTATACTGGTGATGATATAGTCCTTGGTCGTCCAATTAAAAACTCAATATCAAGACCATCACCAAAACAGACGAGTTAGAATCAATTTAAACAATTTTTATTGGATTCTACTTACATACATGGTTCCATTATACAATTATATAATGGCAAACGACCCTTGTAAGATTGAATCACATATAACAATAAGAACAAAGTGAAGGATATTCAGAAAGATGCAAGAGGATTCGTTCAACATTAAAACGGAACCTTCTTATAATCAAAGCAGAAAAATAATCTCCAGAAGTAACCAAGCTAATTTCTCCATGGATAAAATCGACAAGAATCAACTACCCTTGCAAGAAACTCCATAACAAAGACATGAACGTCATAATACAGGAAAGGAAGACATTAAGAACCGGAAAATAAAACGAAGGAAATTAGAACATCGCATATATTATTCCTAAATGCAGAAAGTATAAAGGCATAAGAGATATCTATCTACACTATTATCTCACAGATTCAGCTACCTAAGGTGGCAGCTGATATTATTTTCTAGTCATAAATAGATTATTTGTTCAAGAACAGTATTAAAAATAATATATATTTATCAATCATCAACAAAAACCAATTATTCTGACAGCATTATAATCCATCCCATGCCTACATCATGCTTGTAGTTCGTGCATAAATTGCTCATACGTTTATTTTGATTGAGAATTCTTTGTTTATTATTTTTTGTTATTATTTTGTATGGATACATATTTACCAGTTCGACAACTTTTTTTTTATAATTATTTAGTACCACAGCGAAATTCTTGAAGGACTGCTATATAAACAAAATTTTAAAATGTACGTATTTAGCCGAAGGTCGTGGTTTCGAATCCCGCTCGTAACACTGACTTTTTTATCTCAACCAAATCCTTAGAAAGAATAATTAATTGACTGAAAGAAATAACTTAGTCAATTGACTACGAAAACGTAAATGGCATCAAATTTACATTTTTCCTTCATTTTATATCAACGTCTCTTATGTTTTCTACAGCATGACATTATTCAATCGTTAAACTTTGTAAAGATCTCTGTAAGCCATCACCAAACCACAATAACGTTGGTTATAAACATAATTTTATTTGGAAAACGTTAAAGGTGAATAATGGCTTGTTGAAGGGGTAGATCAACCATTTGAATAACTGAGCGAGGATTTATTCTTCTTCATGACCCTTACTGTTATGGAATAGAAAGGGCTTCGACTGTGTCATATCGTGCTATTCCATTTCAATCTTTCAACATTAACGCTTAGCATCTGGCTCATGCTAACGGTGATATGCTTTTTAATTGGAGAAAGCACCGATTTAGATGGTTCTTAACGGCGAAAAGATAAGTCCAGGAAGCCCTGCGGTTCGGCCCAAGCGCAAAATGCGGTCTGCGAAACTTGGTAGCCTCTTGCGTCACAGACCTCAGAAAGATTTTTCACTTGCATAACAGCCTCGGCGAGGAGTCAATTTACATCTAATAGGCTCGCCCCCTCAGGAAGAATTAGACATAAAACTTTCGGTTTTAAAAAATTTAACTTCAACTGAAAAAATCTTGAAGTTAATACTGCAAGAATGACCTCTATTACAGAATACAAATCATAGGTCAATTGCTTCCAGATAGGGGCCAATAGTTCAGGAAAGATAGTTGACCTGCTATTTAATATCTCCATTTTATCAATCCTAAATGTTTCAATTGTTTACTTTCTCGGTTGTGCTTTATACTGTTCTTCATTTAAAAGCTTTTAGCCAAAGTGAAACAGTTATCGCCGAGTCAGCCAAATATAAGGATCTTTTCAAGGAGGATGACTCCATTTTTATTCCCTGGTGAAGGACCATTTTCCTTATGGCTGCATTGATTCGAGAAGGGAGGAGAATACGATACAATTGACCAGTTCATGATGAAGCATTTCCCCTCAAAGTCGCACAAACAGCGTGATGTGCAATTTCGAGTTTGGAAGTGTTTAATAAAAGTTGGTATATTTGTAACCCTTGTGAACATTACTGTACCACAAAACTTTTCACCAGCACCGCTAAAATCTTTAAGAAAATCGCAATTGCTGTCGCTTTAGAATTTTGAATTAAAGCTAATTATTAAGTATTAATTTTAGTGGTCAATTGACCAAGTTACACCTTTTAATTAATTATTCTTTCCATGTAAGGTCTTGTTTGAGATAAAAAAAGTCAGTGTCAAGAGCGGAATTCGAACTCACGACCTTCGCCTAAATACGCCGCTGCTATAACCATTTGAGCTATCCTGGCTTCGATCTTCTCGGACACTAACTTCCCATCTCAACCTACAACCCTTCGAACCTTCCCTCTTTTTGCCATTTGAATGCAAGAAAATCCAATCCAATTACACGACATTTGAAAATGTGAGTTCGAATCTCGTTCGTGACACTGACTTTTGTATCTCAAC